TCTCTCTCTCTCTCTCTCTCTCTCTCTCTCTCTCTCTCTCTCTCTCTCTCTCTCTCTCTCTCTCTCTCTCAAAAGTCCAACAGTCTCTGATTTCCACATAGACGAGAATTGTGTGCACAGAATCACAGATTACTGTAGTCTGATCAAGTACATGGGTGCACCGAAACACACATAAGGCAACACTTCCCGCTCTCCCCTTTCCTGCATGTCTCCCAACTCAATTTCTATTGGCATCTGATGACTTTGGCGAGATAGTGGGGCTCATTCGACACTCCTTGGGGCGTCCTCGGGGCCTTCAGCCAATAGGGTGCCGCCACGATCCAGATTCTCGGTTGTAACGTCTCTCTACCCATGTGCCCGCTCCTCTCCGTGAAACGCGGATTCCTTTTGCCCAAGGGACCTCGTGAGGTCCCTTGGGCAAAAGGAAGAAATGGCTGGGGAATCCTCGGAGCCCAAGGAATTTTTCCTTCGGAGTGTTCAGAGTGTTTTCACTTTTTTTTTTCCGACTGCATCCCCGAGGATAGGTGGAACGAACAATTCCTCGGGGAATTTACGCGCCCGAGGAGTGTCGAACGAGCCTTAGTACCAACTTGAACAATCCACAACCATGAAGTTCCCTAAGGCCTCAGAATCCAGGAAGTCCTACCCTCTTCTTCCCCCYCCCCCCCCCCCTCCCTCTTTGAATAGACCGCACGGCCATTGCCGCTGCATCTAGACTGAAAGTTGCCCCAAATACCCAGCTATAGTAATGACCAAGCTTTCTATTCAGGTGAAGATGGCAGTGTGAGCAATATGCCATCAATGTACTGTCATACCACTACTTTTTTCCTTTTTTTTTTTTTCTTTTTTTTTTTTTCAAATCACACGGGCTATGCTAATCTTCTCTGTATCGTTCCATTGTTAATGGATGCCCCAAAGGACACTATCATACCACTATGATAGTGTGATGATGTGATCCCCTTCTTTTTCGTTCTCTCTTTTTTGAATGGGTTAACCCGTTCTATTTTGTTTTCTGGAACCCTCATGGAAGAGCAAAGAAAAAAAGCAACTAAAGTCCTCTCGGCCGTGAAACTCACAAAAGGAGGACGGAAAAAAGGAAAGAAAGCTTTGGGCGTGAAACGCAGTTCTATACATTCTTGGAAGTGCTAGTGTAAGTGTGCCCTCAGTGAGAGCATCTCGGCCCTGTGGCCAGGTTGTCAGAGCCAAGAAAAAAAAAGAAGAACAAAAAAAAGAGAGGAAACACGGATTTGGCCGTGAAATTGGCTGGATACATTCCTAAGTGCCAGTGTGATCAGGTTACAATCTTCTAAGGAAACACAGCTTCAGCAGATCACGGATTACGCCCTGCCGAGCTGGCAGGGGACTCGTAAAAATAAGAAAAAAAAAAAACAAAAAAAAAAACAAGATTCATTCTGTGGAGAACTACTCTGAGCACAGTCTCCTAGAATACCCTGCCGGACATCATGGCAGTACATAAAGTATCTTCTTTTTTTTATTTTCCCTTTCACGAGCTGGCCCAAAAAATATTTTTATTATTTTGAAATTCAAGGGATGCGCGATGGCCTGGTGGCTCAGTGGTCAGAGCACCGGCTGGCAATGTGGATGGTTTTCTTTTTTTGGATTGTGGTATGATGTTGCAGCTTCAAAACTCTGCAGCCTCGCACACGTCAGCCGTTAGGCGCTTTCAGAGCGCCCAGCCATTCGCAGGTTCAAAACTCTGCAGCCCTTGGGACGACGCATGGTAAGTTTATACAGACACTGCCTGTGCACCGCCCAAGGGGTCCTCATCCATGGTTGTTGTATGCTGGGGTGGGTTTGGGGGAGAGCTTTTCGGGGTTTGCTGTTAGTTGATCCGATAATCTCAGGTCTCTCCTCGTTATCACTCCGTGGGGGAGGTAGGAGGGGGGAGGCATAGGGGTGCATTTGAGCATATCAGGTCATGGTTGTACTTGCGCCTGTGGTTGTCAGTCCTGGTTAAAACTTGCAGAGTAATTGGCTTATCATGGTACTATGAAACGAAGCCTTGATGAGGCCCATTGAACCCTGCTCGAGCCTTGCTGATACATAGTAGTATGTACTTACTTTCATTGGTGCATAGTAGTATCGATAAGGCAGTATGACATGCGGGCCCCGGGATCCCTAGACTAATACTCTCTGCCTCCCCCTGTGGCGGCTACTATCTCGTGTCTGGGTACCCTGGCTGTTTCCCGGCTAGATGGGAATTCTCACAGGAAGAGGGGGTTGCACAAAGAGTACTAGGTCTAAGGGTGGTCCCCCCTCGTGTGTGTCTCGAGCCACGAGGGCAAGGCTGTCTCATCTGGGTTGAGTGCATTGCGAGGGGTACAGGGACCTTGTGGTAGGTGGGATTGAATAGTTCAGGCTGCTCAAGGGGTAAATTCACTGTTCGAGGCCACCTGTGGAGACCGCATGGGGTGTGGGTAAGAAATCACACCATTGGTAGAAATACTACCTAGGTAGTTAGAGTCTGCCTGATGACCTGCAGGTGCGAG